GTACTAAAAAAACCGACCTCAAAAGTACATGGAATTACATCTATTTGCTAAGTTTCATTGAAGTATACCCTAGTTCGCAACTATACAGGACTTGATACTGGAGATAATAAAAATAGGTTCTCACTACGACACTACTCATATATCGAGAGAAAAACGCCTTGAATTGGAGAAATAGCAAAATCAAGTAAATAATTGCTAAGAGTAATTGCTCCTAAATTAAAGTCAGGCGCTATTTATAAAAATGAATCTTCATGCGTGAACAGCCACTCTTTGAGGTGGTTGATTTTCTTCAAAATAAAATGGGACCACTATGGAATTACCCCCTTTCCAACAAAAAAAGAATCATGAAATCGGTTCACAAATACCGGAGTTATCGCGTAACATACATACAAAAAAAAAGAACATACAGTCGAATTGACAACCTCCTCCCTTTTTTGAAGTCGGTTAAAAAAAACACAAACTTACCTCGAAATTTTACAAGATAGGTACTTTACCAATGGTTTTTTTAAATGTCAACTGAACTGAATAGAACACGTATACTATATGATATACATTTTTCATACGGCTTTATTTCGTTTGTAAAAAATATTGTAAAAAAATAAATTCTGAATCGTAGCATAATACGGGAAAAATTTGTACTCGATCTCAAGTAATGTCGACTCTTAAGGCAATGTATACGCTTCTTTATTCAGCTTAATATTCTAAATATGCCATTTGTAAATGGCAAATTTAGAATGCCTGTAAGCCTGTCTTTTTGTTACTGATGCTTTGTGTAACTCTGCTGTTTTGTCATACATAAATGCGCGTGTGTGTACTTAGTCGTATGCTTGTGCCGTGCTTATTCCAGCATGACCATGTTTACTACTAATTCTAAAATTTCGCGACTAGAACCGACTAATTCACGCTATGTAATTTAAACTGTGGTTCTCGAGATTCAAAAATGGTTCCACCGGAATTAGCTTGTTTCAGCGTAGACAGTAAAACACCTTAATAACTTCAAAAAGGCTAAATGGCTAAATTCAGTTTTTTGCGACTAGAACCGACTAAATCACGACTTTTTAGTGTAATCAGATCTAAGCTGGGTGTTGTGGTTATCGAGATTGAGAAATGGTGCCGCTGGAATAAGTTTATTGCAGCGTGGACAGTAAAACATCCCTTTACAACTTTTGAACTGCAGACCGACTAAATAGCGACTTTTTCTGGCTAGTCAAATTTCAAAAACTCGACCATAGTCACGTTGGAGTAAATTGTACGTGTGCCTGTGCATGTACCAAGCGTATGCCTGTGCATTGCGTGTGTATATATGCACTAAATGATCGTGTGTCATGAGTATAAGTACAATAGGACATAATTTCAAAATGTAATATAAAGCGAACTATTTTACAGTTCTATTGAAACGTTTTTAGTTCCATTTCGTAGCACACATGCAACTAATACTCCCGAAGTCTGTGCGGTAAATCGCTGTCTACAATGAAGTAAAGAAAAGGATCGAGTGAATTCGTCCCGCACAATGCACGGTCGTTAGGTGCAGAGCAATAACGAGGGAAATGCCTTTGAAAATAGCCACCTCACGTATTGAGTTATTTAGTTGAATGAGTCTGATATTATCTAAGGGATACGATATGATGTGCTGAATGATATTTCGATATTTATAATAAATGTGGATACATCCTACGTACGCAATTATTGAATTTATACCTTCCTATGATAAGAAACACATCAGAAAATAAACACAAAATGTCTTTTTTAATTATCAATATAAAGATCGAACACAAAAGAAAATTCATCCGACGAGATTCGAACCAGTACTTTCACCATACCGTGGTCGTTGACGCTCTCTCAACTGAGCTACGGAACGAACCAGCGGACCTTACCAGTCGGATCGAATTTTTTTTTATGATACCAAGTGACGGGGCTAATAAATCGTGCTCCTGGTGGTAAGCGACAGGTACCGACCTGTCGCTTACCACCAGGAGCACCATATCAGTTTTAGGGTCGTATTCCAGAACTCTACTCAATGCTCAAGTAAGGACTTGAGTATGCTTTAAAGCACTAGGAATCATACTCAAGTCCTGACTTGAGTATTGAGTAGAATTCTGGAATACGATTTGCAAATACCATTCAGTGCTTTAAATACCATAAATCTGAGGGGCAGTGCCACCGCGCCCGTCACCCTGAGACATAAGTTGACAAGTCCCATGTGCATGTAATTCCACCAGCACCCTTACCCTTCAAGACCGGAACGCAGCAATGCTCACATTACTGCTTGGCGACAGAAATTCTTTCACAAGGAGCTCTACTGCTACTAACACTACTAAACTACTTTTTGTGTTCGATCTTTTTAATAATAATTATAACAAACTAGTGGAGTAATTTCACAAAAAAAAATTTAATATCATGGTAGTAAAATATCGTGATATTCAATAAACTCAATGATATAGAATGACTGAATAAAAAATATAAATTTAAAAACCATTCCTTTTTTTTAAAAAAAAGCACACCCACTTACCTGATCTCGAACTAGAGTATGAAGGCGATGGAACATGCAGTGTACACACTGCCAGCTGTTGGGCCACCGAGGTTGTCAATTTAAGTACACTCAACCACAGCTTAATAATATCTGACACTGTTTGAAACAAATTTCAACCTGTATGTTATTGTAAACAATACAAGGCATAATTTCGAAGGTTTTCGCCATTGTTACACATTGGAAATAACACTAAGTTCCTACAGCGAAAATTAAAGTGGTTTACATCAATATTATAGATAACTGTTTGATGACATTACACATCATCAGACATCACAGTCTCCCGGGCCCATGGAACCTGTAAAAGGACCCAAATTTTGGTTTCTTTGAAAAAACAAATAACACTATTTAGATTCAAAAACATTTTTAAATTTTCACGGCCACGTTGAAACTGTTATTTAGACATTAAATTTTATAAAAACAATGTTAATTTTTGCAAAAGAGAAATCAATAAACTCAAAAATTTGATAATTGAATTTGACCTTAACTAATAAAAACCGTTCCCAACGTAAAATGGAACGTTGAGTTATGATTAAATTAAATTCACTTAACTACCTTCTTTTAATAAATTCAAAATTCAATTTGTCAAACCCTTTATCGTTAGACTTTTAAAAAACATTTTATATTTAGACGAAAGTATTTACTGCTTGATTAATGTATTATTTATTGCATGTGATTAAATTTAGTGCTTGTGAATTTGCATAAATCCATGTCTAAGGTAAGTAACAAAACATTTTCATATTTAAAAACGTTAAAAACAACCTTGAGTTTTGGTAAATAAATCTTCGTAATAAATACAAATTAAACAGTCTTATATAATAATTGTTTCAAGAACATTAAGAGTAAGTATTCTAATTTTGTGTCTTAATTTTCAAGTATTAAGGAAACATTGTACCTTAAACTAAGTTAGATCATATTTTTGTTCCAGTATATTTAATTTTAAAAATGCCTACTGAAAAGGCGTGAATCACCTATATCGTGGGTGATAGTGCAATATTACGCCTAACTAGTATTTGATTACGAGTCTCCATTTCGGCAATTTATAGCACAAATCAAATACGAGTTAAAAAATTTATAATATTATTCGGACTGCCCTTTTTGTCATACCTTAGACTGTTATTACAGCATTTGTATTTCGGTAACTTTTGAGATATTGGCGCCTAAAGAGTTATTATCTATCGTAATAACTCGATTTCTTTCTACTCCTATTCTTTCAAAAAAATGTATAAGAAATGGCTCCGGTCTGTGCAACAGTGAAAATTGTCTTTAGTAAAGCCAGCAAAACAATAAACACTTGTCTTAACAAGTGGCGCCTTGGCGACAATACTAGACAAGATTTAATATTAGACAAGATACTAGTATATACTTTAGATACTTTAAGATACTTTAGTTCACTCATTGACTTACAATTATATGGCCGTCGGGTCCGCGCTAAAAAGTGTCCGAACTTATAGGGCGTTAAAATCGTATACAGAGCGTCATTCACGCTTTAGTCTTCGTTTGTTTCTTCTGACAGCGAAGCAAGCAAAATTAGACAGTACTGCGATGACATTACAATAATAATTTAAATTCAACGTTTTAGCTTTTTCATATTCCTTTACATGTCACTGCGTTTAAATAGGTTGACTTAGGACATTTTTTTCGTGGTTTTTGTATTAGACCCGTCGTCCATTTATTTGTAAGTCAATGAGTTCACTGGTTAATTTTCTACACGTACGATTGAGCACAAAATGTAGTAATTACGTTGAAAAGTTATAATATTTGATAATACGTGGAACATTTTAGGCAAGCCTGCTGCACTGCTGTGCAGAAATCGTAGCAATTATTTGATGGTTTAATCCCCTAGCAACACTAATTAAATAAAATATTAGAATTGTTTTTATTGAAATTTTTCCATTTTTATACTGTTTACATATGATGCAACACAGACAGCCTCTATTGCCTGGTGTTTAGCATACACTCCGCTTGCCGATCTGATGCAGCAAGCGAATATCATGAAGCCTGAAAATCAGCAATGATGAGTCTTCATCTTTTTGACCACACTACTGTTCTTTTGTGTTAATCGTTCGCTTATATTTGTTTATGTGTTTTGTAGATAAATAAATGTCTTTTTATTTTATTTTATTTTATTTTATTTATTTACTTTCGCTAAAAATGTAGATTTTTTTTTAGTTATGAGTAATAGGGCAACGTAGTTATAGTAATAATTAGTATTCACAAGCTATGTAAAGTAAGTTTCAACACCAGTTTTTACTTTGCAGGTTTCGAAATGGCCTTAAAATGGTCGCCGAATAAAAGACGGAACAATAAAGACACGAATGATAACAAAAAGAATAATAATAAAAAGGAAAACAGGCAAAATTCTACGGAAAATAAGAAAAACAGACCTGATAAGACAGCGCAAGGCTCAAATTTATTTTTTACGTCACAGCCTTTTGTACCAGGTACGACAATGGTGTACATAAATCCACCAGCGGCTCCTGTGTCTGTAATATCCATGGAATATACCGAAACTTTGCCTATATATACAAACATGGCATACTATCCTATATTCAACACGTTCTCCTACAGTTATCCATTCCATGATTGGAATACTATTATCACAACTATACCTACAGCGACAACAATCTACACCACGCCAATTACAACTGCTCCTATCTTCTACGAGTTTCCACAAATGTATTCACCACAAGTTTACCCTTACAGCCGCGCAGTTACTCAGCATGCATATACCGAACCTGTGTTCTCGCCTGAACAATCGATTCCTGAGTTCAATCCATTTGTGCCTCCACCATATATTGATTATGAACAACCGCTTGTTGAGGAAATATACAATACTAGCCAGGAAGAGGCGTCTGTACATGACGTGACTAATAATGCAAGTACTAGTTCCAGTATAGCTAATACAAGTTTCAGTACAGCAAATACTAGCTTCAATACGCCGGATACTAGCTTCAGTACACCGAATACTAGCTCCAATACACCGAATACTAGTTTCAATGCAAGTACTACTAGTTTTAACACAGCCAATGTTGTCGCTAATGTGACCGCGAGGCCAAGTTTCCGAGGACCGATAACTAGAGGAGAACCTGTAGAACCCTGGGAATATTATTTACAACTGCCAAAAAAACTATTCCCACCACCAAGGTATTTGAAAATCGATCCTAATCCTTTGATAGACGCCTTTTGCATATTGTCTGATATACAAAACCAATTGTCATGGATAAGTGATTTAGAATTCGGTGTACCTAGAGTGGCAACGAAGAGACAAATAGCTCAATATGATATCAAAATTAAAAATGTGATATGCAAAAATTCAACAGGCGTAACATACCCGGCTTTTGATTCTTGTAATCGGGAATTCAAGCACATAGTATCGTCATACTATGACTTAGTTATTAATACTTGGTACAAGGGCTATGTAAAATTAAAACGGAACAAAAGTAGGTCATGTTTTGAAGCTTGGATAAGCAGGCCAATGGAAACTTTTGGTATGTGTTGGCCGTAAAAACAAAGCAAGGCAGACCCTCGGCAATTGTATAATTATGTGAAACGACGAATAAATGATATGAATGAACATTAATAAAATATATAATAATAATATAAAATAGTGTCCGAAAGTAATGTTTTAAGCTCATGGAAATAAGTTCACTAAGGTATTTCTGGACGCAATTATAAACGAAGTGTCGTGATTAGCTAAATATTTGATTTGCTTCTACAATATATTTTTCGAAAGATTTACAAAACTACTCTGTCATGAGCGCAGTTTGTTAGGTTAATGGCCGTATGAACGAATGAACCGTAGTTCATAAATTTTAAGGAATGATATTAATAAATTAGTTTTAAATATCTTGCGCATGTTAGCATGATTCTACATTTTAGAAATATGAACATTTTATATGTAAATAGTAAGTAATTTAATTTAATTATTGTTTTCTAAATGAGTTATGTGCTATTTGATTGAATTTTTTTGAAATAATTTTAAAAAATTAAATTATGACTAATGTAAGATCGTATTTTATACAATATTGTTTCTCATTTATACGAGTTTGTTGTAACCTTTTTTGGTGCCAATTTGCTATGTATCCTCCTAAGACTAAATGCTAAACGCCCATTGCACAGTTAACAGCACATCAAGTGTATACTTTTGTTAGAATATCGCCTCCAATGCAACGGAACACGATCCGTCAATGTGTAGCTCGATATACTGCCGTCTGTACATAAAAATTAACTATATACAATGAGATTATCAGCGCAAAAGTGGTGTAACCCACATTATTTTTTTCTACAATAATAAATTAAATTATTCAGTATTTGTTATAAGTATACGAAATTAGAATACCATGTACTTTATCATGCAATGCTGTACAAAAATAAATTGGATATAGGTTACACTATTTTTCCGCTGAAAGCTTCGTTTATTTATATGCTTGGGGCCCAAGCTAGTATGCCCTTTTTTGATACCCTATGGACAGATTATACAGAAGTATTTCGTTTTGTTGACTATGTGTGTGCCAAACACATAGACAACCACAAATTACGCCCAAACCCACAAGAGAAATGAACGTAGGCCATACAAATATTTCTCCAGGACCGGCAATCGAACCCGGGACCTGTGCGTAGCGGTCCAGGATGGTAACCGTTCAGCCACAGTGGTAGTTTATGTGTACATAGGAATAAAATTGTCTGGGTTTGAATCACTTTACGTATTATGTACATTTTGATGTACAAGGGGCCTGAAGAAGGTATGCTCATAGTAATAACAAGTATGGTAAGTTCATACAAACGTTGCGGCGTGCCTTACATGTGTGCCGTGTACGGACGCACACATTCGCATAATCTCATGATGCATTCGCGTTGCACAGCTCTGGTCGTCCGAAGCGCCTCTAATTATTATGCGAATGTGTGCGTCTGTAGCTACACAGCGCGCGGTGAAGAGTTACCATACTCGTTTTATTATACTATAGTAAGCTGGTCAACTAACGGACAAAATTATGCATAATCCAGTATACTATCTTTTCACCACTATGATAGTCTCTAAACAAACGCTGTAAGATGAACAACGTGTACATTTTATACAACTATTTCAAATTCCGGTTTATATTCCCTTCTCAAAACTTTATCAGTCGTACATTCAATACTAAAGTTGCACTATTGTCATTCCTTCCACAAACCTCTGACCTAAATTTAAGGTCCTTAATGGCTCGGAATTTGCGGTCGGCTCCCGGCAGGCAGGCTGGATACAGGGACCTAATTTGGTGACCGCAACGCATCTGATGAATTGTTTAATGCCTAATGTGCGAATTTGCGGTCGCTAGATAGATAGACATGTGCCTCTGTGGGTAATTAATTTTGACATAGGGTCTGCTAATCCTGTGGGCTAATTCTGTGACTTATGATTATACGAGCGACCCCGCTGTACTTGAATTCAACAGAAGGACAATTAATACGGCACTAATTATTTGAAATTCCCTTCATTTAATTAAGTTTTATTGCAAAACCAAAGCGCACAGATTTAGCAGGCTCGGCCATTTAGAAAGGATGGGAGAGGATCGGAACGTGAAGAGAGCCTATCTGAGTCGACCTACTGGACGAAGACCGGTTCGCCTCAAGTACCGCTGGAAGGACGCCGTGGAGGCGGACCTGCGCGAACTACAAGACATCAATTGGCGAGACATTGCACAAGACTGTAGATCGGCGTCATCTCATTTCGGAGGCCGGGACACATTTTGGTTCGCTGAGTCAGCGGAGTAGTGGAATGTCATGACGTTTGCCGACCACGATACTCAATTATTTTTGTGAAATTACTACACTAGTTTGTTATAATTATTAAACAAAGATTGAATACTTAAGAAATCCATTTCGATTCGGGTGGATTCGAACCAAAGTCTCCTAGCAAACCGTGTCAGACGCTGTGCACACGGAACGAATCAACGGACCTCACGAATTTTTCCATGTGCTTGTTGATTTTGAGACATATATTTATTTAAACTTTACTGTACAATACACTGAAGTAGAAATGGCGGACTTAGTGCCAAAAGATTCCGTTCTACAAATCTCGAGCGTTTTCAGAACTAATTATATTTGAATATGCGTATTATTTATTAAAATTTGAGTACAACATTTAGCAATAAATTATTATTTCCCATCAAGTATTTGCTACAAACTACTGTCTCAAAAAACTATGTTGTAGTTGTGTTTCCATAGGTTTTCATGTATTTAAATATTTTAGACATAAAAAATAAACACATACATACATTTTGAAATCTGGTTACAACTATTTTGTAAAATAAAATATTGACATAAACGCATGTACGCACATACCCACAGACACACACATACATTTTATTATTATAAATAAATAAATAAATAATAAATAACGCACACACTCAACATAGCCCCGCACTAGGGAAACCCTGTGTCGCGGGTGCCATGGACACACACATAGACAACCACAAATTACACCCAAACTCACGAGAGAAATAATTGTAGGCCATACTACTATTTCTCCCGGCCCGGGAATCGAACCTGGGACCTCTGCGTGGCAGTCCGGCATGGTAACCGTTTGGCCACAGAGGCAGTTTTAGTAGTATATATATACACGTCTTGTTTTTGTCATAAATAAATAAATATATATATATGTATATACACACATCAAAAAAAGTTTGCGATCAATAGCATAAGCTCCTATAATTCTTTAAATTTAACTTTATCAAGAAAAAATCTATGTTGTATGCTTTCTTTAAATAGGAATACCCTGTTTGAAATTAAAATATAAAACTATTTTTTATTATTTATTTTAAAAAATTGAGCCATTAATCATAATGTAATAGTGATAGAAATTTCATAGAAAGAAAAAGACTGTTTAATTAAACTTAAACAACAATTTATTATTAAAAGGTGTGAATTCAATATAAAATAACTCCTCCCCTGGCTCGAATACATGCGAAGATCCTCCTGGGCATGCTGAGGATCAAGTTATCCAGCATTTCCTGGGGTAACCTATCCCATTCTTCAATAGCGGCTTCCCTGAGCTCTGGAACTGTCTGGGGACGTGGCTCACAGTTCCATACTGCTCGTTTAAGAGCATCCCACGCGTGCTCTATTGGGTTTAAGTCGGGCGAGCCGGCAGGCCAGTCTAATCGTGTGATATCGTATTCTTGAAGAGCAGCATTGACTCGTTGAGCTCGATGTGCGGGCGCATTATCATCGACCAGTACAAATTGGTGCCCATGGTTTACTCGGAATGGTCTGACGATATCATCAATAGCAACTGCTTTGTACATGTCTGCTGTCATGAAGCCCCGATACGGGATCAAAGGCGAACGCCTTAGCTCCAATCATAATGCCACCCCAAAAGGCACCGATTTTCCGCCTTGCTGAACTGTTCCAGTGGCAGTTCTTTGTCTTTCACGGTCGCCTGGTCTTCTCCAGACACGAACACGTCGGTTATCTGGATGAGTGCTGATTCGGGATTCGTCAACGAAGAGACAGTTTTGCCAAATGTTTTCGTCCTCACCTTCTTCATTTTGCCGAAGTCTAGCCCACTGCAATCTTCGTTGTTGACGTTGCCGGGAATTGAGCGGAGCTCGTCAAGACCTCCGTGCTCGTAATCCAGCCTGGTGCAAGCAATTGCGAACGGTCTGCGTGCTAACTTCAAGCCCAGAGGCGGCCCTGACTTCTGCTTTTATTTTAAGTGGCGTTGATTGTTGGATCACGGGCTGCCAGCAATCTAATATAGCGCTTTTGGGCAGCTGTCAAAACAGTTGGGCGACCGCTGCGGGGTCGGTCAGCTAAATTCCCCATTCCGTGATACCTCTGCAACGTAGCCACGACACAGGATTGGGATATAGCAAGTCTGCGTGCTATTACTCTCGTGGTGTATCCTTCTTCCCTCAAAGTTACTATTCTAGCTCGTAAAACCTCTGATAATCCTCTGGGCATTTTTCCAATCACAACTTTCCGCGAAAAATATCTTGAATCGCTTATAATTGACTAAATCAGATTTCTGAATGAGCGTAAGCTAGGACTGAAAGCCTTTTTATATGAAAAAACAATTGAACGGGG